AAGCATGGATAAAGATAAAATGCAAACATTATCTTGGGTGTGTCCAACTCATTGCAGAACAGGAGTATATTGCAGGTTTCCAAACATTGAAAAATTGAAAGTCTTTGTATTTGGCAACAATCCTATTATTTTGAATAATCTTTAATATTTGGAACATCTTGAGAAACTATCAATTTCAGTTTTGTTTGGTTGCATTGAAATCCTTCCAAAGGCATCTATGTTTCCTTCACAACTAAAGAAGTTGAGGTTGAACAGTACTAACCTTTCAGAGAAGGATTTAAAGGCAATTGAAATGTTGCCTTGAGGTTCTCAAATTGAAAAATGCCTTTGATGGAAAAGTATGGAAATTAGAAGAAGGATTTCGTCAATTAAAATTCTTGTTTCTTGAAAATAAAATGCTCGAGCAATGGATGGTCGGTGACAGGGACGGATGGACATGGTATATAAAGGGGGCCTTCCCCCCCCCCCCACCCCCACCCCCAAAGAATTTTTTTTTTATTAACACTAGTAGTGGCAGCGGACTTAGAGAAATATGGTAATTGGGGCTTTGGGCCCTTGGCCCCCCTCCCCCCTCCAAAAAAAAAAAATTATTAGTAGTTTATTATTATTTTTTGTAGCCCCTCACCAAAGTTTTTTTACTCTCCAAACAACAATTTTCAAGTTAAGATTTCAAAATCTTATTTGATTCCAATCGTTATGTTGTGGACACGGTTCTATGTTCATAATTACTGAATTATATGTTCATAATTTTAAAGCTATATATTCATAATTTTTGAACTTCATATTCATAATTATTAAATTCTATATTCACAATTACAGAACTCTATGTTCATATTTACAGAACTATATGTTCATAAATATAAAGTTATATATTCATAATTTTTTAACTTCGCATTCACAATTATTGAATCTCTATATTCATAATTACAGAATTATATGTTCATAATTATGTTCACAACTCTATGTTCATAATTTTTGAACTATATATTGATAACTATGAACATTTTTGGAACTGTGTCCACCTTACAAGGTGGACATGGTTCCACAACATAATTTGCCATTTGATTCTCATCTGGCCTTGCCAAAATATGATTTCTTCTTCTTGAACATACACACAATCACATATTGTCTAAGAGGCTCCATAGTTTTTATTCTTTTTTGTTTTCCAGATTCATTTTTCTAAAATTAATGATTTTTTTTTTCTTATTGATCCACACTTTTGATTTGAATTTGTTTAAAGGGTTTTAAGTCTTTTGACAATGTTTATATGTGAACTACTCATATTTAAGAAATGTTTACTCTTTGGTGAATGGTGATTCCTTGTGGACTGACGGCTCACGGCTCTTGACCATTTAGAATTGATGACATTTGCAAGTTGGTAGAGAAGTTTTACCCTCAAGACTTTGTAATATAATGATGTATTTTGGACTATGTTAAATAAATAGTAATGTATTTAATTATTCGAATGGCCCCCCGCACCAACAAATCCTGGCTCCGTCCCTGGTCGGTGATGATTCCTTCCCATGTCTTAAGCACTTGGTCTTAAGATTTTGTTATTGTTTGGAAGAAATTCCTTATGTTATGGGAGATATTTTTACCTTGAAGTCAATTGAGTTGCAACAGTGTTGTCCATCCGTCGTCAGGTCTGCAAAGTGTATTCGAGAATCTCGACTATGGAATGGACTTTTTAGAGGTTAGAAGCTACAGTACCAAGCTAGTACAGTACAACATGATTCATTCTTAAATTTCCATTTATTTTTCTATTCAATGGTTACAAAATCATGTCATCTTTCTGCTGCTATTTCCTTCAATTCTGATCTCATTTCATTCTTATATTAGTTATGCATTTATTTTTCTATTCATTCATGCTAATTTTCTTTACAAAATCTATTGCAATTTTCTCCCTCTGATCTCATCTCATTTTGCATTCTCTTTTTCATATAGATCAAAATCAATGGAGAAGACTCAGAAGAGTCTATACCTTCAGATGAGGAATAATAACAAGCTAAGGTATGGATGCTAGAATTGAATAACAAAATTAGGTTGGCAACTATATATATATATAATCTTAATATTTGCATCATCTTGCAATCATTATTTCTTGAATCTTCAGTACACAAATAATGTACTTTTAGTATATTAAAAATGTACCTGATATTCATGGTCCACACGATAATTTGCCCCTTATATATGTTCGATAAAATATCTCAAGTTGAATCATCAAATACAAGGAAGAGTTGAAGAGCTGAAGCTGATGACTACTATAAAACTAATCCAAATTTGGAACACGTTGCACTTCCATACATACTAAAAATAGAAAAAATCATGGAAATGATCAAAAGTGAACAAAAAATAATAGTCTGTGATGTTAAATGACAAAAACAATAGTTTAGGACTAAATTTAAAATTGCCACTTAAGACAAGGGACCTCTGGTGGAATTAACTCTTTCTTTAAACTTACCTTTTTCAGGTCTGGACTGATGCATGTTGAGCGCACGTTTAGAAGCTGTTACCTTGATAGACTCCCTTGTTTTAGATTGCCTTTAGTTAGTTGATCTCTTGATGTTATCTCTTGGTTTGTATGATGCTTAGACATTCGGATCCTTTGAACCCTCGTTTGTTTATCTTGGTATTTTTGTTTTGTTTAGATTAGTCTTGCAGTTATCGAGGAGTGGATATATAGTTGTGGCGGTAGCATCCCCATGGATATTCTAAGGATTTTAACCTTTATCTTAATATGATGATTGGAACTTTCTGATTAATCCTTTTGTTTAAGCTTATAACGGTCCATAGGCTCTAGTGTGTTAGAATTTGGGGTATTACAATTATATTAGCTTTTGATTATCAATTGAAATATTGAATTTTATGTTATGTATTCATCCAATATAATTTGATTTTCTCTCCTTATATATGTTCTGCATCTAAGAGGATATTTTGAAAAATATCTCAAGTTAAATAATCAAATGCAAGGATCGGAAGAGCTGATGAAGTTGATAACTACTATAAAACTAATCTGAAGTTGGAACATGTTATGTTGAATAATCATCAAATACAAGCATCCGAAGAGCTAAAGTTGATGACTACTATAAAACAAATCGAAAGTGGGAACTCGTTGCACACATACGAGAGGCGATAGATTCTCTTTGTTTAGAAAATTGCGTATCAATTTTCTTAAGTTGTTGAATTGGGTTGGAGAACTTTACTTTTGAATTGTGATTATATGTTTTTTTGTGGATATTGCACTTTTTACATATGAAAATATTTCAATTAGTTTTCAAGACTCTTGTAATTCATTTATATATTTATATAAGTATATATGATGAAACTCTTGTTGGGTAATAAGGTTAAAAAACCCCAAAATAATAATCCTATGGAAAGATTATTATTATATGGGAAAAACAGAAAAATATAGGGAAGGAAAAGGTGAAAGAATCTGGGTAAGGGTTAACACGAGTTGAACAGATTGTTCTTTTCCTTAAAACCTTATTTGGTACCTCCCACAAGTGCTAGGAGCGTTGTAGCCTAGGTTTCCCAGGATAAAACGTGCTACGATTCTTTGTTTAAGCACCTAAACAAAGAACCCGGCAAACAAAGCAAAGCAAGAACACAGTTTGCTAAAGAAGAGAGTAGAAGCAGAGTGTTTGGAAGCAAAACTGTACTGGAATTCCTTAGTTTCTTGTTGTGTGTGAAAAGCTACTGCTCTACCTCTCTTTATATAGGATTTTTGGAGTGATAGCAATTAACATGGCCACTAAATTGGTATTAAAATCAATTGTGTAACACCTGTAACAGTCACCCACTAAGTAGGATTAAACTCATATTTAATATTGGAATTAAAGTAGTATTAATTCCGTAACAGATGAGTTTAATATACACAACAGGCTGAACTTTCGGGTTTCAGACCATTGGGGTGTACCTGTTCAGGACACGAGAGTACAACCCGAGAGTGCATCTCTCGTGCTGTGGTGCAACACGAGAGTGCACCTCTCGTGTTCACCGTTGCACGAGAGTTGTGCTCTCGGTGCACCACAACCTCTCATGCTCTCTGTAGCACGAGAGTGGTGCTCTCGATTTCGGCCGAACCAAGTGACTATATCGGTGGTCTTGGTGCACCACAACCTCTCGTGCTCTCTGTAGCACGAGAGTCGTGCTCTCGGTTTCGGCCGAACCAAGTGACTATATCGGTTGGAAAATGATACCGAAGTTTGGCATAACTTAACCCGCAAGGCCAGCCAATTTCCGGAGGACATTCGTGCCCGCAGGTGCCGGCGCACACGAGCTCTCGGTTTCGGCCGAACCAAGTGACTATATCGGTGGTCTCGGTGCACCACAACCTCTCGTGCTCTCTGTAGCACGAGAGTGGTGCTCTCGGTTTCGGCCTGACTATATCGGTTGAAAAATGATACCGAAGTTTGGCATAACTTAGCCCGCAAGGCCAGCCAATTTTCGGACGACATTCGTACCCACAGGTGCCGGTGCACACGAGCTCTCGGTTTCGGCCGAACCAAATAACTATATCGGTGGTCTCGGTGCACCACAACCTCTCTTGCTCTCTGTCGGTTGGAAAATGATACCGAAGTTTGGCATAACTTAGCCCGCAAGGCCAGCCAATTTCCGGACGATATTCGTGGCCGCAGGTGTCGGCCCACCCCTGGCCTTGTGATTGCAAAATATCAGAAAACTACAATGAATGAAACCAAAAAATAACAAAACAAAAGATAAAAACAGTAAAAAGAAGTATTATACATTGCAAGTTGACAATGATTTACATATACATTAGTTAATACAAATACACCCAAAAAAATTAAATAACCAACTGGTTTACTGTCACAGGCATAGGTTTTTTGTTATGTGTAAGTTGAAACCTATTGGCAAAACAGGTAAAATGGTATAACTGGTTGAATAATTTATCTACTTTTTTTTTTTTTTGAGTACTATATCATCTACTGTATTTAAATGCATACCTCTTGTGTCATGGAAGACACACTCATTACACTTTATCATTTCACTTCCTCTTCTATCTCGGATTTCATATGTATGCACTCAACAATCTTTAATCGCTTAGATTGTTTCCGAAGGACAGAGATTGTTTCCAAAGACTTATTCTGAAGGATAGAGATTGTATATGAATTGTAAACAATCACTATAATCCCTGTTATATAGAGTGTTTGTGATGTATTGGAATTGATATAAACTGAGCTCTTTATATAACTTGTAAGAAAGAGTTGTATAGATATGGTCATTAATGCTAATTGTTCGGATACCAAAGAGACTCGACGGCTAATTACGGCAAATGTTTCGGATACCTATGTTTCTTTATCGAAATATGAAAGGTCGTAATTAATTAATATCGTATGCAGATCATGTTCAATTATCTTCTAACCAGCCAAATACTCTAAAATGCGTATCAACCTTTCGTATCTCATCTTTAAATACACAACTGCTTTATATATTCTTTAACACTAAAAACGACGGCGTTTTGTTTGGGCCGGATTTTTGGTTCTATTGTGAATTCCTAGGCTTGTGGCTTTTTTATATAGTAAGATTTTCCTAATTTTGGGATATTATTATATAGTTATTAAAATTTTAACTTATGAAATTTATTTATATTTATAATTTGTATTTTTAAATTTAATTTGTAACTTCGTGATTTTTTTTTACCTTTCTATAATTATAGTGAGATTTATAATATAGATTGATTTGTGATTCATATCAAATTTTGAATCTATTTCTATTCGAGTAATTTACTACTTATATTTAAAATATGTGTTATTTTGTGAACATTATAATGAGTTATGTATATGTAATATATTTTGTGATTTAGTTATGAAAAATATTTTAAAAGATAATTTAATTTTTCTATGAATTATCTAGTCAATGTAATTTAGAAGTCCTATTTGTCCTATTGTGCGTCATTATATTCAAATTAATTTATAGAATTTTGAAATTAATCTAACAAAAAGAAAAAGTATTTATAAATATGATATCAATATAGAAGATATGTGATTTATTATGTGTTTTTCATTTGAACTATTTTATTCAATTAATTGTGTTTCATATTTTATTATGAATATATATCTATCTTTTATCACGTTTAAAGTATTTTGATTTATTGCTCCCAATAATTAAGATTTTATGCTATGCTCTCGTTTGTGAGTTTTGTATTACAAATTTTTATTAAAAATAACTTCATTATTTATTATAATTATAATGTGATTTTCTATAAACGTTTAGAATATTTCGATTTATTGCTCCCAATAATTAAGTTTTATTCGTTTCTATAAACTATAATTCTTTATTTATGAAAGCACTGATGCAGTTATTGATTATTTTGGATTTAAGAATGCATCTAGAAATGATTTCATGTGTATGCATAATTGTTAAAAACTTGAGAATCTTATTTCAAGTTATTTAATATTGGTATTTTTCTATTATTTAATTTAAAATTTAATTATAAAAACATATATTAATTTACTATACAACCCATTTTGTTACTACGCCCCAGACCTATAAAATGATAGGGCCGGGCCTGATCATGTTATACTAAGCAGCTTAATTAATTCTAACCTCAAAATTTTCATTTCCAATCTCGCGTTTATATTCTAGAAAACCCTCTGCAGAAGCAATGAGGGCACGACAACATTGCTGCAACTCAATTGACTTCAAGAAAACAGTATCTTCCAAGACATAAGGGATTTCTTCCAAACAATAACAAGATCTTAACACTAAGCGCTTAAGACAAAGACATGGGAACGATCCTTCACTGACCAACCGGCCAGCGCCTGAGTGTTTTATTTTCAAGAAGCAAGAATTTTAATGGACTGAATCTTCCTTCATCTACATCCCAAATTTCCTCATGAAAAGTATTTTCCAACTTGAGAACCTCAAGTTGAGGCAACATGCCAATTACCATTAAATCCCTCTCAGAAAGGTTAGTACCATTCAATCTCAACTTCTTTAGTTGTGAAGGAAACATAGATGGTTTTGGAAGGGTTACAATGCAACCAACCCAAACTGAAATTGATAGCTTCTCAAGTCGTTCCAAATATTCAAGAGTATCCAAAACAATGGGATTGCTTCCAAATACAAAAAATTTCAATTTTTTAATGTTTGGAAACCTGCAATACATTTCTTTTGTTCTGCAATGAGTTGGACACACCCAAGATAATGTCTGCATAATATCTTTATCCATGCTTGGCGGATCAATTTCATAAGATTTGTCAAGTTCAAGATGCTGTAAGTGCGGTGACTCCCAAATTGTACAAGGCAAACAGAGAGTAGATGCTCCAAGTTGGGATTCTTTACCAGAAATAACTAGTGTCTGCAAGTTTCGATTAGTTGAAACTACATAATCAAGACCCTCAAACCATTCTGACACATATAGGTATCTCAAAAAAAACTAATTCCCGTAAGCGTGTTGGTTCTTTGTGAAGAAATGAAGATGGAACGAAAGCTAAAACTCTTAGCAACTTGAAAGATATTTCAGCATCTTTGTGGAAGAAGAAAATGGACCCAGGGCGGTTTGTTCTCAACAACACATAATAGTCAAAACTATGTGTGTATAAACTTAACCAGCGGCATGAATTTGCAAACATGCTAAGCGACCCTCGTGGAAGTTGCTGAGTATTTAAAGCACAAAAAATGTTACGTTCTCTTTTTGAGCTTCTCTCACACAAAAGCTATGCAAGGCACTATGCATCCTACAAGTCTTAATTTTTCCATTACAACTCCAAGTGTCAATTAAAATAAGACTTCTATCAATAAACTCTTGCAAATACTCATAAGCTTGATTTTCTTACTCCTTGCCCTCAAATTGCTTAATAAATCCCTCAGCTATTCATAACCTAATAAGTAGTTTCACTTTGATTGCACGTTTTGGAAAGACTCCAAAATATAGAAAATAAACTTTCAAATGTTGCTTTAACTAATGATAAGTGAAGGTGAGAGGTTTGTTATCTAGAACACCAAACAATTCAATTTCCTTTTCAACCTTCTTCCATTCTTGTTGTATGTTGTCACACATTGACAGACATTTTGCAACAACAAGAATCGAGTGCGGCAATCCTTCACATTTCTCCACAACTTGGCTCCTAATTTTTTAAAATTTAGGTGTCATGTGTCGCTCCAAAAAAGGGTTATTACAAAATAAATCCCAACTTTCTTCTTGATTTAGCAAAGCCATGTTATGGATATATCTATCGATGTAATCATAACTATCCCTCCTGTAATGCGTAGTGGTTATCACTATGCGATGTCCCTTATTATCTCGAGGGAGACATTTTCCTATATCATCCCAAGCTTGATTGTTACATAAGTTGTCCAAAACAATTAGATATCTCTTACCTCTCAAGAAGTTGTAGACCTGCTGGGCTGCTGCATCATCGTCATTATGAATGTTTGCCTCCATTGTTAGTGTCCAAAGAAGGTCGTATAGCGTTTGGGTCTTGTTGTATTCCCCAGATATAGTAACCCAACCTCGTATATCAAAATGGGATGTAACGTTTGGATGATTATAGAGATGCTTAGCTAAAGTAGTTGTTTTTCCTATACCAATCATGTTAGACTAAAATATCACATGCATAATTACAATATGTGATAATAGGATCGACTAACCTCCAGCCATAGTTCTTGATACGGTTGAGCGATCCGGACTGCTGCAGAGATAACGAGTATTTTGTCTCTCACTTTACTCAGCTCTCTCTAGATGGTGTATGAGGTATGTAGTGTGAGCAGTGAGAGGACTAGTGACCTTATAAACCACTGGCCATCATTGTGGTTGATTGTCTTTAGGTTTCCTAAACCCTAACTAGACTCCTAATCATAATGGTAGTCTAGCTATTAGGTTATTAGTGTTGCACCACATATAAAATACTGAATATTATCATAACTTATGGTAATGTTATAATAATAGTAATGGATAAACGTTACATTCTCCCACTTGGTGCAAGCACTACCACTCAATAACAGAAAAACACCAACCATAATGATATGTTCTCATTAGCGCGAGTAGTATCCATTATGATCAAATGCAAACTGCCATTGAGCACTTAATTAGGAAACAAAACCCAACGAAATAAACCCTATGTTTATTCCAAGTCCCTGAAGTACATTTTCTCATCAATATAAAGCAAATGAAGGTGTACACACTTAATTGAGAAAATGTCTGAATGCCAAAGAATTTTATTAAAACTGAATGTATATATACAAATTACAAATTGGGCTAAAGTCCCATTTTATGAATCAGATCCTTGAACTTAAATGGTGGCATGCCTTTAGTCAAGAGATCTGCTAACATCAACTCAGTATGAATGTGTTCAATACATACAACTTTATTTTTGACAGATTCCCTAATTGCTAAGAACTTAATGTCGATGTGCTTAGTTCGACTTCCACTTTTGTCGTTTTTAGGTAGGAAGACTGCAGCTGAGTTGTCACAGTAGACTTTCAATGGCTTAGATATAGAATCCATAACTCTAAGCCCAGAGATAAAATTCTTTAGCCAAACACCCTGTGAAGTAGCCTTGAAACAGGAAACGAACTCAGCTTCCATGGTAGAAGTAGCTATTAAGGACTGTTTAACACTTCTCCATGAGATAGCCCCACCGGCCATAATGAAGACGCACCCAGAAGTTGATTTTTGAGAATCAACACAGCCAGCGAAGTCCGCGTCTGAATAACCGACAAGATCTAAATTGTCCGTCTTCCTAAACCCAAGCTTGTAACCTTTGGTTCCTTTGAGATACCTTAGAACCTTCTTTACAGCTCTCCAATGGTCTAACCCCGGATTGTGTTAGTAACGCCCTAGCATTTTAATCGCAAAAGAAATATCCGGCCTCGTACAGACTTGAATATATCCAAGACATCCAACTGCTGCAGCATAAGGGATGTTCTCCATGGATTCCTTCTCCAAATCATTTTTCAGACATTGGTCCAAACTGAATTTATCCCCCTTAGATATGGGAGCAGCGTTTGGTGAACAATTTTGCATATGAAATCTCTCTAAAACCTTGTTTATATAGGTTTCTTGAGATAAACCCAGTATACCACGGGACCTATCTCTCTGAATTTTAATGCCAATAACATAAGAGGCATCACCTATATCCTTCATATCAAAGTTCTTAGAAAGAAATTGTTTCACATCACGAAGCATCCCCTTATCATTGGTGGCAAGTAAGATGTCATCCACATATAAAACAAGAAAGCAAATTTTACTCCCACTCACCTTTTGGTATATACAGTTATCTGAGGGATTTTCAACAAAACCAAATGAAGAAATTACCCCATCGAACTTGATATACCATTGACGGGAGGCGTGTTTTAAACCGTATATGGATTTCTTAAGCTTACATACTAAATGCTCACCACCCCTAGAAGAGAAACCTTCAGGTTGTTTCATATAAACCTCATCTTCTAGATCACCATTTAGGAAAGCGGTTTTCACATCCATTTGTTGCAACTCAAGATTTAAATGTGCAACTAATGCCAGAATGACCCGGAGTGAATCTTTCTTTGATACAGGAGAAAATGTCTCCTTGTAATCGATTCCTTCTTTTTGAGTAAATCCCTTGGCAACAAGCCGGGCCTTGTATCTCTCAATGTTGCCTAATGAGTTTCTTTTAGTCTTAAAAACCCATTTACAGCCAATGGCCTTGGCCCCATTAGGCAACTCAACAAGATCCCAAACTCCATTGTTCTTCATGGAATTCATTTCATGCTTCATGGCTTCTAACCATAAGTCAGACTGTGCACAATTTGTGGCTTGAGAGAATGTTTCAGGATCATTTTCAACCCCTATGTCAGATTCTTGTAGATACGAAACATAATAACTAGGAACTGCTGATCGCCTTACCCGAGTAGACCGTCTTAAAGTTCGACCCTCATCACCTTGTACAGGCTGTGGGGAAACTACCTCTTCAGGAACTGGTGGCAGTTCTTGAATCGGTTCAGTCTGCATCGGCTCAGAATCTTGTTGTATATCCTGAGTTGGTTCAACCATTGGTTCGAAATCTAGTTCAGGCGGTTGCTGTAAGTCCTGAACTGGTTCTTCCAAAGGTTGATCCTCAACAGTTTGTGGAATCTCAACGGTAGGTGGTATATCTGCAGGCAGAACTAAAGGAGCACTGCGAATAAGTACAACCCCACCAGATGACGTAGAAGGTCGAGAGTCAATATGATCGAAGGAAGGAACTAAGTCCTTAAACCGATCACTCCCACTAATCGAGTCATCTTCAAGAAATTTAGCATTCCTTAATTCCACTATCCTAGTAGTAAGAGATGGACAATAGAACCTATAACCCTTAGGGACAGCCTTGGTTGGAACATGGTTTAATATATACGTTGTCGTCTTAAGTGCTTCATCCCACAACGACTTCGGAAGCTTAGAGTTGCTAAGCATACTCCGCACCATATCTAGAAGGGTCCGGTTTCTTCTTTCAGCTACACCATTTTGGTCCAGAGAACCAGGCATGGTGTATTGGGCAACAATCCCATGCTCTTGAAGAAACTTAGCAAAGGGACCAGGTGCTTGTCCATTCTCAGTATATCTACCATAATATTCACCACCCCTATCAGACCTAACTATGTGTATTTTCCTGTTACATTGGTTTTCGACTTCAGCTTTAAATGATTTAAAGGCATCCAATACTTCATGTTTATGATGAAGTAAATACACATAGGAAAATCTTGAGAAGTCATCAATAAAAGTGATGAAATATTTCTGACCAGGTATTGTCATATCAGGACAACATATGTCAGTATGAATAATTTCCAACAACGTTGAACTTCTATTGGCACCTTTCTTTGACTTGTTTGTCTGCTTACCCTTAATGCAGTCAATGCAAGTCTCAAAGTCAGTATAGTCTAGAGTAGAAAGTACTCCATCCTTTACCAACCTTTTAATACGCTCAAGGGAGATATGACCTAATCTCCGATGCCACAACATTGAGGAATTGTCGTTAATACTACACCGTTTGGTGCCGTTTTGAACATGTAAAGAATTGTAAACTGAATCATTCTTTAATTTAAGACGGAAAAGACCATCAGACATTGTACCAGTACCAACACAAGTAGAATAACGAAATAACTTGAAATCATTGGTATTAAATTCAAAAGAATATCCGAAGGGTACAAGTCTAGATACTGAAACTAAGTTACTAGAAAAACTAGGAACATAAAAAGTATTTTCTAACGTCAATACAAAGCCATTGTCCAAAACTAAATTGCAAACTCCGACAGCTTCTACTGGTGACGCAATCTTGTTTCCAGAGAAGATGCTACACTCAGTTCCCGACGGCTGTCTTAGTTTTGTCATATCCTGCAAAGAGTTTGCAATGTGGATTGTTGAACCAGAGTCAACCCACCTGGAATTAGTATTAACTTCTGACATGTTAGATTCGAAACAAACAAAAGAAGATGAAATGTTACCTTTTTGGGACATCCATTTCTGAAACTTGATACAATCTTCTTCATGCGTCCCTTCTTTTTGCAAAAGAAACACTTTTGTATCTTCTTAATGTCTGCTTTAGGGGTTAGTTTCCCCTTCGTAGCCATGGTAAGTCCCTTAGGCTTTCCAGACATTCTTTTAGGCCTTGTTGTGGCCATTAAAGCACTTTCCCCAAGCTCAATTAAAAGCCGTGTTTCCTCTTGAGTACACATGGTAATCAATTTATTGATAGACCATTCATCCTTATGTGTATTATAGGAAATTTTAAATGCATTATAGTCCTAAGATAGGGTATTTAGCGCAAAGTGCACCACAAAGGCATCTGGAAGAATAATCTTCAACTTCTTCAATTGAGCCGCAATGTCCCTGAACTGTATGATGTGTTTCCGCGTTCCCTTGACAGTGGAAAGACGCATATTGATAAACTGCATTATCAGGGTACTTGCCAGAGATTTGTTCGCGTCAACAAATTGATCATTGATGGCCTTGAGTAATGGTTTAATGTCCTCAATATCATCGACGGGACCACGAATCTCTTTGGCAATTTTGGACTTAATGAGGAATACGCCCAAGCGATTGGCTGTTGCCCATCGCTCGTATAGAGTTTTTTGTTCCTCAGTGCTTTCCGCAGTAAGCTCAGCAGGCTTCTCATTGCGAAGAGCATAATCAAACCCTAATATTCCTAAATTCAATAAAACAGCGTCTTTCCACTCTTTGTGATTATCATAATTAAGGATAGGAATATCAATTGTTATTGATTGAGTAATTGGAAGAGTGACTGTAAAAAGAAAATTGAAAGCTTGGTTAGAATTTTTCGAGGCACAAAATTAGAGCTGAGAGAGATACTGAAGTACATAATATTACCAATGTAAAATTATGCAAAAGATAAATTCGGATGCCATAAAAATTGCCTGTGGGCTAAATTTTTACGCATAATGAATTTACCAAAACTGAATGGTGGAAACGGAATGGGTGCAATTTTAATTTTTCCACCCTTAATGACAAAACTACCAAAACTATATGCCGATACATAATCCCTGTGGGCAAATTATGATCATAGTATGGTATTTCATCCTAATTAACCCTACAAATATAACAAAATTGCCTGTGGGCTAAATTTTGCCATATCACGCAGAGTGAATTACAATATTCTTGCATTAACTTTATGTAAGTAAAACTTAATATGTAATTTTGGAAAAAATTAAAGATGCTGTGGCTACTCTTTAATTAACCAAAGAACATAATCACATTAGCAAGAAAACCTAATAAACAAACAGATTAAACCAAAATATGATAGACAATCCTTAGGTATACTCCCAGGAAAGTTGGTCGAGATGAAGCTCGGTTAAAAACCAACTCCTTAGACAGATTAGCGTCGCAAGGGGACTAGTAGCAACAAGGCTTTTAAGCCAGGGCCATAGAACTAGTATTCCTCCCCAAGAAACTTCCCTAATTCATGTGTTCTCATTTTTGAAGTAAAATCGTTTGAGAAATCTAAAGAGTAGTTTCACATATGGATAAGGCTTTGAATAGGGTAAACTACGAAGAATTGTTTATGTACTTTATGTGCTTTAGAAACTTTATAAAACACGAGTGGAGTAATAACTAAAGATTGAGTAATAATATGCATAATCTAACCTGAAAGTCACTAATTCACCTAATAGGCACTAAATCATGCATAGTATAGAATTCAGACCTAAAGGCTCTAAATTTTTCTTAATGAACATGCTTTTCTACAGGCATAATTATAACAGTCAAATAATTATTGCAATAAAGAGATAAATAGCATGCTCAAATTATGCATATTACTCACAAAATACTCCACAAATAAATAGCAACACTTAATACAATTTAAAGTGAAAAACATTATTAAATTAAAATTCAACTGAAAAATTAAAAACTGAATAATTATTCAAAGTTGAATAATAATTTAATAATAGACTTAATAAAAAAAATTCAATTGGATAATTTAATTAGAAGAAGTCTAAATATGATGAAGATGTTAATCTGAATGAATTGATGTAGTCCAAATATCAATTCAGATTTGACCCAAAACCAAAACAGCCCAGTAATAATAATAATAATAATAATAATAATAATAATAATAATAATAATAATAATAATAATAATAATAATAATAATAATAATATTATTATTATTATTATTATTAATTTTTTTTTATATATATGAGCCCAAGTCTGGCCCAATTGGGCCAGACCTGGCCCATTTAGCTTAGACATCTTCATTCATCATCTTCTTCGTCTAGCCTAGAGCAGCGCAGACAGGAAACCACCGATGGACGGCCATGGAGGACAAACGGCAGTTTGGTCGCCGGCAGGAGAGGAAAGACGGCAGAAGTATCGTAACTGAGAAAAAACCCCAGCTCCACCACCGCCACCCAGCCTCGTCGCAACGCTAGCGCCGCTGCCATCCGCCCGCCGACGCTGCATCGTGACCCGGCTGAAGCCTTCGCGCCACCGTCGTCCTGCCTACTGCACCGGAATGCCATTGTTGAAGGTAGCTGAAGGGAGAACGACTTTGATCTAAATCAGTCGTCTCCTCCAACAACAACGGCCGCCGGCGACCGGAATTCCAAGAAAAACCGGCGAAGCAGAGGAAAAATATCCAATTTGATTTTTTTTCACATATGTAATTCCCAGACCATATAATTGCCAGACCATATAATTGCATACTAAAAAAACATTCACATATGTAAACTCAAACAACAAAGTATATAACATATGCAAATATTTAGCAATTAAACAAACTAGGCAGAGATTATTTATGGCGACTGATACCAACTATTAGACTAAAATATCACATGCATAATCACAATATGTGATAATAGGATCGACTAACCTCCAGCCATAGTTCTTGATACGGTTGAGCGATCCGGACTGCTGCAGAGATAACGAGTATTTTGTCTCTCACTTTACTCAGCTCTCTCTAGATGGTGTATGAGGTATGTAGTGTGAGCAGTGAGAGGACTAGTGACCTTATATAACCACTGGCCATCATTGTGGTTGATTGTCTTTAGATCTCCTAAACCCTAACTAGACTCCTAAACATAATGGCAGTCTAGCTATTAGGTTATTAGTGTTGCACCACATATAAAATACTGAATATTATCATAACTTATCCTAATGTTATAATAATAGTAACGGATAAACGTTACAAGTCATGCCAAGAATTGTGATCACTTTGGGTCCATATGCGTTCCGGACGAGTTTATCCTCTATCTGCATAAGATCACGATGACGCCCGACCATCAGAGAATGCATAACATTGCTGGGCTCAGAAGCCAAAGAATGTTTTATCCAGGGAATCAATTGTCGTTGACTTTCATCATCATCAGCGCTAGCTTCGTTGCTTATTTTCAGCAAATCTGCTGCGTTTTCTGCTGCTTCTCCCAAAGTTTGATTGAGTTGCTGAGAAGCTTTTTGTTGATCCTCTCCCTTCTTGGCCAGAAGAAAGTTGCTTAGTTGTATTTTGATGTGATCTTCGGCTTCCAGTGCAAAGTATCTGATCTTGACTTCCAAATCTCTGATTGCAGCAGCTCCGGATTTCTTCTGCAGAAAAGCTTGCAAAGATGAAAGGTTTTCAAACAAAGAATTGATTGATATGGATGCTTCATCATCAAGAGAAACCCTTGGATTATTGGGTTGTAGAAACTCCAACTTCATTGTTGCAATGAGAGAAGTCAAAGCAACAGAAGCCATATCTCTCTCTCTCTCAAGTTTTCTGGATGAATGAGTGGATGTGCCAATCAATGAACTGAGCGAATGTGGCAACAACCCTCCAAACATTGCATAATAATATGATGATGATGATGGTCTGCTAGCTAGTTTATTACAAAATTCTTTTAATATTCATTGTTAATTTGATTCTGTGAATACACTACAGGAAATTATGCAATTTCCGACCACCTGAAAGTGATCTTAAATCAAGTCGAAAGCCTTGTTCCGACCACTTTTGGTATCCGGAAAAACCTTTGTTGTTATTTCCGACCACTTTTTGGTATCAATTTGATTTAAGATCACTTTCATGTGGTCAAAAATTCTATAATTTCCAGTAGTGATATGACCAAATCTTTTAAATTAACAAATATTTGGTATATCGTTGGCCACTTGCTCAAAGTGTCAATATGGTTCAGACTAGCTCGTTAGTATCTACGATTATTTGGTGCGCCGCTACTTACTTGCTCAAAGTGGTGATTATAGTTTAGACTACCTTGCAATTGTTGGTGCAATGTTTGCAATAGCCTAGTCCAGTTGTGCTGGTGACCGGTAAAGATCATAATTATATTTCTACACCCGCTGGTCACTTGCTCAAAGTGGCAATGGCGATAGAGATCGTCCCTTTTGTGTCAACTGTTACTTTGTGCATTGCTGGCTACTGGTTCATAGTGGTGTTGATGGTATAGACCATTACTCTTCTTGACTTGGTATTTTTGCCTCATATCTTTGGCTTTGGCCCATGTGCCTTTTGCTTTATTTTAAGCATATGTGTCATGGTGTTTACTTTAGGCATGTGTGTCATTGTTTGTGCTTTGGGCGTGTGTGCCACTCAATTCTTCTACTTATGTCATTTTGTCATACCTCGAGAACTGTCATTATACTCTTGAAAATTTTGAAAAAATTGAGGCATTTTTGGTTTATTTCACCTGGAGGTGTGGTTGGTCTTGTGTTGCTGACTATTTTATGATTGCAGCTTGGGCATGATCCTTTTCTTGGTATTCTATGTTATATATGTTTACCTTAAGCTTATGGGTTTATGCTTATTTTGGCTAAGTGTTGATAGTGTCGTGCTTACTTAGACACTCGTTGGTTTTAAATGGGCTTCTCTTGAGCTCGTAGTCTACTCCCCTTAACTTTGTACATACTTGTTTTTGGATTAATAAGCACTATACGTTCATAAACTCAAAGCGCAATGTTCATAACAAATTAGACACACCAATGTTAACATTCGCTATTTTACATGTTCATAACATGCCTTACCCATGTTCAAAAATACAAAACTTAATGTTCAAAAACTAAAACTTATATGTTCATAAATTCAAAGCTTAATATTTATAAATTATTATGTTCAGAAACTTAAAGCTAATGTTTAGAAATACGTTGAGTGCGGTGAAATGCTGTTGTTTTATACTAAAGTCCACGGTATAACAACTGATTTCTCTGTGTACATTTGCTAGAATCAATGGTTATGTTGTGCAACTGTGTGCACCATGCATGGTGCACACGGTTGCAAAAACGACTTCGTTTTGACTAAAAATGCGGGTCCCACTTATAAAAAAAAAAATTCAGTTTCGATCCCCCTCAACAGTATTATGTTGTTATTTCATTATGGATTTTTAGTTCATTCATTCTGGATCTTTAGTTCATTCATTCTGGATATTTAGACATTTAGTTCATTTATTCTGGATATTTAGACGGAAATTGAAACTGTTTTTTTTTTTCATTCATGCTGGATATTTAGTTCATTGATTCTGGATTTTTAGTTCATTCATTCTGGATATATAGTTCAAATTATGCACACATAATGTTGTTGTCGAGAATCGAAATCGAAACCGAAACCAAACGCTATTCACTGGAGCATTATCATATAAACTTAAGCACACTAAACGAATTTCACCTTTGCTTCTTAAGGGGCACTGCAGATTCTGAAATGCTATCACTACTGTTGAGCCAACTTGGAAAGATAACCCTCCGATCCTATTAATGGATGAATTACTGTTTTCTTTTGCTAATACCTCGTTCTTCGCTCTCTTTTTGCAGAGGGTCGTGAACCGATTCTTCACAGCATTATCAGTTCTCACGAACAGACAAGCTTGGATTTAAAGCGCCATTAAACACACTAACTTGACAGGGGACAAGAGGGGAAGCTTGGATTTAAAGCGCCATTAAAAACACTAACTTCACAGCATTATCAGTTCTCACGACCGCCTGATGGATATGGAGATGGAGGAACGCCCGAGTTTTCAATGGCGAGGAGATACAACTGCAAGATAAGATTGCCTGGCTAAAGACGCAATTCAGGGACATTGAGAAAGCCTTTGAGATGAGTTCGAATCCAGGAGTTTCGAAGGAGGTAGAAGCAAGGAGATGCAACCCATGGTCTGTGCCACCTGGAGGATGGATAAAGGTCAACACTGATGGGAGCAGTAACAAGAGAAGTAGAGCAGCTACATGCAGAGGAGTCATCAGGAATGACAAAGCTGAGTTCATGGTGGCTTTCTCAAAGAATCTTGGAACGTGTGACCCTCTAGAAGCGAAGCTATGGGGTGTTTATCTCGGCATCAACCAAGCATGGAGATTGGGATTCAGGCGTGTCATCCTTGAGACAGATAATGCCAAAGCAATCGAGCTAATAAATAAAGATGAAGATTATGTTGGTGCAGGAAGGAATATGGTCGATCTTTGCAAAGCAGCCAAATCCTGGCACTGGGAAATTATATTAGGGCATATTTAATTCCAAGGGAACAAAATAGAGTAGCCGATCTTATTGCCAGTCTGGCTTTCGGCGATGCAAGAGAGGAATGCTTTTATGATTATGCTACGGAAAACATGCAAAGATACCTCCGTCAAGATGAACTTGGTATTCTGGGTAGTAATAATACTGTAAGCGTCAGATATTGACGTGGGTTTCAACCCTCCTTTTCTTTCAAAAAAAAAAATATCTCATTTCACTTTCATCATTCATTGCATTGTGTTTTTCATATATATATATATATATATATATATATATATATATATATATATATATATATATATATATATATATATATATATATATATATATATATAGGTATGTATTCAAATGAGGACTGGGGTATTATAGAGGATTGTGAGGACGATTTCGGTGTGTTGGATCATCTTAATGGGTGGTGTAGATTAAGTGAGTTTTTAAAAATTAATTGGGTATTTTGGGGGGGGGGTGCGGTTTTTTTTATTTAATTGTAAGGGTAGTTAAGTAATTGGATTTTCTTTTATTTTAATCTTCCCTTTTTATTCGGAACGTGGTGTCCTAATCGTCTTCGCACTCTCTCTCAAGAAGCATCCGTGGTCCCCTTCCCCCATTCGAACAGCGGTCCCCTCTCAACTCCTGAGTTGCAGTTGTTTGTCACCGTGATGGCCGGCGTTGGCGGTCATGGACGGGCGAAGCGGACGGCGGCGAGTGGTGGCGGTCGGCGTTCGAAGCGTACGGTGCGGTCTCCGGCGGCGACTAGACCTGGTGAGTTTATTAAGCTCTAGGGTTTTTTTTTCCCCTTCTTCTCCGTCCGGTGTTTTTTTGTTGCATTTGTGTGTGGTTTTGCGGTGTGTGGGGGTGGGTCTCCGGCCGTGAGTAGACGCGGTGCATCCATTAAACCCTAGGGTTTTTTTTCCCCTTCTCGGCTGGCGTTTTTTTTTTTTTTTTTTTTTTTTTTTTCTTGTTGCAATTGTGCGTGGGTTTGCATTTTGTGGGGGTGGGTCGACTTGCATTAGGCTTGAACCTGGTTGAATTTTGGTGTGGCTGAATGTGTACTATGCTTGAATGTGTACTGTGGAACTTCTCTGTTAGTTGTTATGTGCATCTTGCGGGGTTTTTGTGTTTCGTATACAATTTTAACAATATCCAGATCAAATCTCTTTGTTTTGCACCCAACCAATCTTTATAATATTACAAATTTTCATTCTTAAATCTCTATGCTTAATTTTAACAGATTATACAGGGATGAATTACTAAGAATTTAGATGTGTATTGTAATTACGGCTGGCTCGTATTCTAAATTGATGAATGGATATGCAACATGGTGTGTGCAGTGGTGTGTGTTTCTGTGTTCCCTTGTGCATTTTGGTGGAGCTTTTATTGGGTAGTTTTTTGATTATGTCCTTTAAACTATTTTGCAGTTGATTCTCCCGGTTGCTTTATCTTTGTATATTATAATTATTCAAAGTGTTATAAGTAAGAATTGATTGTATACTAGTTTCATAATATTTTTAGACTGGTGTGCTGTGGAAGTTCTCTGTTAGTTGTTATGTGCATCTTGCGGGGTTTTTGTGTTTCGTATACAATTTTAACAATATCCAGATCAAATCTCTTTGTTTTGCACCCAACCAATCTTTATAATATTACAAATTTTCATTCTTAAATCTCTATGCTTAATTTAAACAGATTATACAGGGATGAATTACTAAGAATTTAGATGTGTATTGTAATTACGGCTGGCTCGTATTCTAAATTGATGAATGGATATGCAACGTGGTGTGTGCAGTGGTGTGTGTTTCTATGTTCCCTTGTGCATTTTGGTGGAGCTTTTATTGGGTAGTTTTTTGATTATGTCCTTTAAACTATTTTGCAGTTGATTCTCCCGGTTGCTTTATCTTTGTATATTATAATTATTCAAAGTGTTATAAGTAAGAATTGATTGTATACTAGTTTCATAATATTTTTAGACTGGTGTGTTTGTGGGCGTTGGTTGCCTTTTTTGTGTGCAGTGGGTCGTGTTTCTGTGTTCCCTTGTGGATTTTGGTGTGTGCTGGGGTGGTGTGTGGTGTGTCGTTCGCTTGGCATTTTGTTTTTTATTAACTTTGTCTATCTGTGTTGGTGGGTGGCAGCTAAGAAGGCAAATGATGGACCTCTGCAGGCTTGTTCATCTGGGGGGTTTATTGATGATGATGATTTTGTTGACCCTCCGCCGGTTCCTGTGATTCCCGTGCCTCTAGAGCCTATTGTTGATGCCCCGGAGGG